AGGGTTAATGAACTGCCTGAGGCCCCACAGCTATGCACAGTGGCACTGAGATCCATGCAGGCAGTCTGGAAACACTGGCCTCTTTTTCTCTTTCACCGCCGAGGGACATCGTGGTGTCCCTTCTTAGTGGGACTCATGTTAGCATCGGGACAGCTTCCTCCTAGAGAACAATGGTGTAAATGGCTCGCATGCCCTCCCTTAGAGTATTAGAGAGCACTACATGGTTTGTCTCTGGACCCTGGTTCCTAACCACTCTATGTTGATCCACAAATGCAACAGATCTTCTGGACTGGAGCAGAGACGTAGTCGGTGTCTTGGTTAGGTTTGTACTGCTGTGAAGAGACACCATGACCATGGCAACTCTTACAGAGGCAAACATTTCACTGGGGTGACTCGATTGCAGTTTTAGAACGTTAGTCCATTATCATCAGGCTGGGGAGCGGGGCAGTGTGTAGGCAGATGTGGCGCTGGAGAAGTTTCTGAGAGTCCTACATCTTGACTCAGAGGCAACAGGAAGTTGGTTGGCTGTTACTCTGAGGGAAGCTTGAGAGAAAAGAAACCTCACAGCCCTCCCCCACAGTGACAGACTTCCTCCAACAAGGCCCGCACCTCCTAGTAGTACCACTTCCCTTGCGGCCCATTTTCCTTCAAGCCACCACAGTTGCTCATTTCAGGATCACAGTTGTGAGTGACAGCCGGGGCATCGTTCATATGAATCAGTACTAGGAAACAGTAGCTTGCAGGTGACTTACCTGCTCCGAAAGGGTCATTAGCGTGCACCACCAGGATGGTCCCTTTTTTTTTTTTTTAGCACCTTAGCTCATTATCCTATGCCCTGGGTTGAGACCGTGACTGTCAGTTCACCCCTGAAATGACACTCTTTCCTGTCATTTGGGGAGGAAATGTGTGGTCTGGCAAAGGCGAGTCAGAAGATGGGCTGGACAGAGAAATCCCAGCTGTCCTTGGGCTTTGCTTTGTGAATGTAGATTTAGAATTCTCAACCGGAGGTTCTGGTGGCTCTGAGGTAGGTCCTAATAAAGAGCTCCAAGGGCGGGCCGGAGAGAAGGTTCAGCGGTCCTCTTCCAGAGGACCCTGGTACAATCCCCAGTAGCCACATGGCAGCTCACAATGGCCTGTAACTCCAAGATCTGACTCTGTCACACAGACATACCTGCAGACAAAAAAAACCAATGCAAATAAAAAAAGAAATATTAAAGAATTCCAAAGGCTTTTGCTACAAACAGAGAGGCTACGGGTTGGGCAGAGTGCCCTCAAGCTGCAGGTGAGACTAAATTTACTAGCCAGGTGCTCAGTGTTTTGGTTTTTGTAGGAATCACCTTGTGTTCTCAGGTGGAAAGGAATCACAAACTGTCCAGAAGGACCTGGCAAATGGCGTCTCGGAAGGACTGTTAGAATGCACAGGAGGCTGGTACTGTCTGGAGGGTGGGGAACTAGAGGCCCTCCCAGGACTTTCTGCTGTGACCTGATCCAGAGATCAGAAGTGGTTAATGCTACGCTGGCCTCACCGCACTGAGAAGCCAGACTTGGACTATGGGATGCTGAAGCAGAAGAGAGAACCACGTCTCCATGAGGTTCTTGCTGCCAGAAGGCATGTGAAAATGTGGCAATGCCTCTTAGCACTCACAAAGGCCTGCCCGCTGCCTTGCCCACCCTCCTCTGTTGCATGTACGGATTATTACGGTGGCTCCCGGGTGACTTAGGGGAAACTAAGCAAACCTGAGATTGTGAAGAGAGTTTGCAGTCACAGGTTCCCTCTTCCAATATAGCAAGCAAGACAAGCGCATGCAGAATGAAGGAAGCCAAGGGCAGCAGGCACTCTAAAATCTGACTCCATTTTTTTTTCCCTGTTAAGCTGAAGATTGGGGTCAATAAAGGCAGACTTGATGTCGTGGTTCAGATATGAAGTGTTCTCATCAAAAGCTCACAGATTGAAGGAGTGGTTTCCAGCTTGAGGTCCAGCCCTTGTGAGGGGGGTTGAATCAAGACAAGTCTGACTTACGCAATCCTTATTTGATGGCGGTATGTACAGGTGGGTGAAGTTTTAGGAGATGCATAGCACTGGGGTCTGTGCTACAGAAAGATGTATCTTGTCTTCAGGTTTCTCTCTCTCTCCCTTTTCCCTCCTGTCCTCCATCTTTCCCTCTGCTCTCTCCTGTCCCCACGAGGTGAGCTATAATTGTCCTTCCATGTTTCTGACCATGATATCTATCACACATAAACTATCAGAGAAACAGGAAAGGAAGCATTCCGCTAAGTGGACCATTTAAATTCTGTCTACAAATTATGACCTTTATATTCCTGGCAAAACAATAACACTCTTCGAGTTCTTCCTAGTTTGAGTATGGTGATTGACCACGACTGGACAGCGGGTTCCAGGAACATGGCTGTTTGGCTTTCACTAGGAAGTCCTAGCACTTGATGTAGGAGATCAAATTTGCCGCAGACAGCTTAAGTCTGGGAACACGGATGAAATGAGAGAGTGCTTAGAGGGAGATGAGACAATGTAAATCGATTCTGTTTGGGTCCAGAGTAAGCTCCCAAAAATAGGTACAGGAAGCAGTACACACCTTTGTTTGCTTTATCTGCAGGGGGAGCTATAGTCTAATAAGGAGGGGGCACTTAGGTCATACTATCTGTTGGGGACAAATGACTACAGGCTTCAGTGGACAGGGAAGGAGGAAACAATGATCAGTCCGCCGACTGCTGCATTAGTGCTGTGTGGCGGCAGGGACGCATGGCTTCTTTATGGGTGTTTACTGGTCTTAGATGCTCTTTGAAGGTCATCTGTAGACGTGACATTGTTTGAAATGGGACCCACAAGTCAAGATGCCACTCAGCAAGAGGGAAGGCAGTAGAAAGTAAGGGCCACAAGAAATAGGCTGTTTCGAAGAAATAATTTTGTGTTCGTGTTTTGCCTTTATGCATGTATGCATGTATGTATGTATGTGTATTATGAATGTATGTGTGTATGAATGTATGTGTGTATGTATGAATGTATGTGTATGTATGTATGAGTGTATGTATTATGTATGGTATGTATGTATGTATGAATGTATGTGTGTGTGTATGCATGCAGGAATGTATGTATGTATGTGTATGTATGAATGTATGTATGATATGTATGAGTGTATGTGTGTTTGCATGTATGAATGTATGTATGTATAAATGTACGTGTGTATGTATGTATGTATGTATGTATGAATGTGTGTATGTATGTATGTATGAGCACCACGTGCATACAGTGGTGTCAGGTTCTCCAGGACCAGAGCTATAGATGATTGTTACCCACTATATGGGTTTTGGGAATCAAACCTAGGTCTTCTGGAGTGAGCCATCACTCCAGTCTCCAGATCTTTTTCCCTCTCTCTCTCTCTCTCTCTCTCTCTGAGACAAAGTCTTGCTATGTAACCCCCAAGCTAGCCTTGAGATTTCAGTTCTCCTGTCTCAGCCTTGGATTACAGACATGGGCACCATGCCTGGCTAAGGCCATGGACCTTTAGACAATCGCACATATGCTACATCTGTAAAGTGAGATGGTACTGTCACAGGCACAAGCAGTGGCCATCACGTGGGTCTGGCACGGCACTGCAGCCAGCAGGGTGTAGGTACTGAGAGCAAGCAAGGCCTCCTCACTCTGTCCCTCTCTTTAATTTGCGTGCTTCTTTGGCCTCCGTGATATCCCTTCTCTTCTCTGGTTCCCGCTTCTACTCTTTTTATTTATTTACTTTCTCCCATCCAAGTACTAACCAGGCCCGACCCTGCTTAGCTTCCGAGATCAGACGAGATCGGGTGCGTTCGTTCAGGGTGGTATGGCTGTAGACTATTTATTTACTTTCTTTGTCTCAGGTCTTTCTTAATGTCCCCAGAGCCCCATCTTTTTTAGCCTGCATCTCTTCTCCATTTGGAATCCGTCCTAACCACTTACCATTTCTCACGTCATCTTCCTGGCTAATTACCATTAATCTACATGCTTAGTCCAAACCTCCTGAGCATCTTATACTCCATAGCTTATGGGATATGTCCACTTGGATGTTCTAATGACATTCCAAACTCAACCTTCATAAAATGAGAACAACCAGTGCGTTTGTCATGTTTTGACTGGGCTTTAAAGCAGTCCCCCTGCATTGGCCTAGCTAGGCTAGCCACAGCTACCTTGTCAACCTGCTCTCTGGCTCCCTGGCCCCTGCCTCATCACATATCGATATTGGTATTTCCACCTTATTTGTGTCTGGGCTCACAATAGCGGGACGGAGCTATTTCTGGTGAGAAAGGCAGAATGCCATGGCACCTCAGGACTGACAACACATAGGTCGTAAAACCCCTTGTGTCCTGCTCTTTGCCACCCTCGCAGCGCAGCCCTCTGCCCCATCTCTCCAATCTCCCTGGTTTACTTGTAGCGCATGCCCCTGTGTCTTGGCAAGCGCCCTTCCGGGTCTGGAAAGGAAGGCTAACGGGTGCCTGGTTCTGCAGCAGCAAGCTGTGTAGAATGTACCGCATGGGTTCAAGCCCTTAGTGTAAAGATTTTCTTTGCAAGACAAGTTTCCCTGCGCCATCGATCGTGTTCCACTTGGGTCCCCGGAATCTGCTATAGTAGAAAAGACATGGGGAGTGGTGAACTTGGTAGAAACGGACCCAAATACTTTAAATAAAATGTCTCTCTGCCCCAGTCGGTGACTTTTCTTTTCTTCCTTCCTTCCTTCCTTCCTTCCTTCCTTCCTTCCTTCCTTCCTTCCTTCCTTCCTTCCTTCCTTCCTTCCTTCCTTCCTTCCTTTCTTCCTTCCTTCCTTTCTAAAGACAGGCACTTCCTTGGGACTTCTTCCCTCAGTGCAGGTGAAGGGCAGCGGGGTGGCTGGTTGCCTGCGGGCTGGGCTGGGTGGCTGCCCGCGCGCCTGCGCCCTCTGCTGCTCAAGTCCTGGCGCGTCTCTGTGCGCGTGTGTCTGTTTGGAGAGCAGAGGCTTGGGTGACAGACCAGGGGCTGGGGGAAGAGTTGGGCGGCCCGAGTCGCAGTCTCACTCCCCGATTTCTCGGCAGCAGGAGCGTGACCGCTGGCCATCTGCCCGCACCACCGGCGTCCTACTACTCCCAGCCCGGAGGACTGCTCGTCACCCTCGCTAGTGAGTTGCGGAGGCTTGTGAGCCCGGCAGAGCGGCGAGCTGTCCCCGGCGTTTCTGTCCTCCCACGGGCTGCGTGTGTGTGAGTGCGTGTGCGCGCAGGGGGCGTCCCTGGGATTCCGCATCTGTTCTGAGAGCTCCGGGCGGGGATCCGCGTGTCCACCCCATCCGAGTCTGCGCCGCGATGCGGCTGCTCCCCAGCCAGGGGCTCCGACGCAGGGATTCCCCAGCTCGGCGCGCAGCCACGGGTGGAGTTCCCCAGGAAGGCGCAGGGGTGAGCGGGCGGAGCCCCAGACCCGGCTTGCGACTCACTGGCAGGCCGGGCATCTGCGAGCGAGTCCGATCCGGAACAGTCCAGGGAGATGTGGCTGCCACCCCTCGGTCAGCTCCTCCGTCTTTCTCTCCTACCCCCTTTCTTTCCGCAGCAGCGCCACGAAGGCTCAGAAGGGAACCCAAAACGCAGCGGAGCCCCAGTCCGGTCCACCTGGTGCACATCGCGGCGGGCCGGGAGGGGAGTAGGGTTCTCCAAGGTTAGGGATGGGGTTTACACCGAGGGCACACCTGTGTTGGTGCTTGCTGAATTTAAGCCGAGTGCTCGATCCAACGAGCAGTTTCAACATGTACTCTCTGGTGCATGCGTGTGTGTGTGTGTGTGTGCGTGCGCGCGTGCGTGTGCATGTTATGTTCGCGCAGGCGCGCAAACAAGCCAGGGCCCACGTTCTCGGGGTGCGCTCGGTTAATTGCGCACCTCCCCGCCAGCCCGACTGTGCTGAGTCGCTTCGGTGGGTTCCTCGTGCACGCTGCAATAGCGTGCCAGCGTCTCTTTGTTTGGCTGTGGCTTCAACCAGCCATCTGCAAAGCAAATTGATTTTCGGTTTCGCTCAACATTGCGCTCTGGGACCTAACATGGGCCACAGCCTTGAATGCCCTCGTTACTTGTAATTGAATAGTTCTTTCCGGCAAGGGGCTATTTTTAGTGTAAAGAATAACCAGGCAAGCATGTTGACCTTTTTTTCCCCCTTTCCCCCGGCTGCCTTTGGCTTTGAATAAGTAGGTGTCTGATGGAACAGACTAATTCACATCTCGTTGCGCACACGTGTCAGCGTATAAGTGTGCAAACACATTTCTACACGTAGTTTTCTTTCTATCGCTTAAAAAATTGTATTTGTGTGTTTGTAAAAGAAAAAAAAAAGAAGAACCCAACTTTCCTTTGTTCTTTTGGGAATCTTCTATTTTGAGTCATGAAGTAGGAGTACCAAAAGGTTGCAATTAGTTCACTCGAATAAAAGACGCTGCCTCTGAGTCAGAGCTGCCAGGTTGATAATTATTAACATATAAAAGCAAACGCACTGTTTAAGGCAAAAGGGGCGGGGCGGGGGCAGGCCCGCCGCAGACAATGGGGGAGAGTCTCGGCGGACCGGCTGCTGCTCATTGTTCCGGGACTTGAGCTTGCTGCCTCTGAGGGCTCTTCCTGCCGGGTTCAGCTTGGTTCCTCTGGGGACCACAGGGTTACCTAGAGCTGGCCGGCGGGCACTGGGACGCCAGCCCCAACTGCAGCCATCCTTCCTGACCAGCCACTCTCTGCTTTGCAGGTTGGGAGCTTCACCGCCGAGAGCCCAAGCCCTGAGGTGGGCACCGGACACCCCTGGGTGCACCAAGCAGGATGTCGTTCGGACAGTCGCGCTAGGTGACCCATACCGGGCACAGAGCTCTCTAGCTCCCTGGCCACCGTCCGAGCGGCGGTGGCGGAGGTGATGAGCACCGGACGCGCAAAGCACCTGCAGCGAGCTATCCCCGGGAGGTGGACGCCGAGCAGGGCTCCTCGCAGGACTGTGCGGATCTTTACCTCCCCAGGCACGAGGTGGCGAAACCTTCCCGCTGCGCCTCCGGTCAGGATGCTCAGGGCACCTCCCTGCTGATGAGATGTTCCCTTAGGCGGCTGTGCCGTACGCAGCCCGGGTCTCAGGCGGTTGTGCACAACTGAGTGGGCTCGGCTCTGGCCCCTCGTGCAGGCGGATGAAAAGTGCCGGAGGCCTTGTATGGGATCAGCGATCAAATTTTAAGAGCCATGGACGAAGTGGCAGCGCAATCCCGGGGCCAGGAGCAGCTGGGGGCACCTGAGGCTGTAGGAGCTGTCCAGGAGAAGTGCGAGCCAGAGACCTTCAGGTCTAAGAGTTTACCGGTCCTGCACAGCGCCCCTTGCCGGCCGAATCTCAGTGCAGGGAATGCAGATGGCGAACTGGCCTGGGGCTGCCCTGAAGCTTTGGATCGCCAGGAGATGCATGGAGGGCAGAACCTTATAGTCCCTAGCCCTTCTGGCCCATCCACTTCGGCAGGAACTACAGCGGAAGTCATGGACTGCAACCACAGGATGGACCCCAGCAAAACGATATCAGTGTCTTCTACTCTGGCCACACTCCAGGAGGGAAGGTGTCTCTATGTGGTCCTTACCGATTCTCGCTGCTTCCTAGTGTGCATGTGTTTTCTGACCTTCATCCAGGCGTTAATGGTCTCTGGGTACCTGAGCAGTGTCATTACAACCATCGAAAGGCGTTATAGCCTGAAGAGTTCCGAGTCTGGGCTGCTGGTCAGCTGCTTTGACATAGGGAACCTGGTGGTGGTGGTGTTCGTCAGCTACTTTGGTGGCCGCGGGCGAAGGCCTCTGTGGCTGGCCGTGGGTGGACTTCTCATAGCTGTCGGGGCTGCGCTCTTCACCTTACCTCACTTCATCTCGCCTCCGTACCAAATCCAAGAGTTGAACGCATCGGCCTCCAACGATGGCCTTTGTCAGAACGGCAACGCCACGGCTTCCTTGGAGGCTCCCCCCTGTCCCAAGGACTCAGGAGGAAATAATCACTGGGTCTATGTGGCTTTATTCGTTTGTGCACAGGTTCTCATTGGAATGGGCTCCACACCGATTTACACCCTGGGACCAACCTACTTAGACGACAATGTCAAGAAAGACAACGCATCCTTGTACCTAGGTAAGACGATATCCTCTGGGGATAGTTGGCTCACAGAGACATTCCTTTTCTTCCCTAAATAAAAAGGAACATAATCTTTTGTGTTCTCAAATATCTTAAGCATTATGATTCACTGCATTTAAGTTCTATTTTTGGTGTGATATGTTTTCAGTTTGGGGTAAAGAGTTCTTTGAACTAGTTTTCAGACACGCTTGTCTTTTCCTGCCCAATTCAAACTCTCAACAATAGAATAGGATCGAGCCGTTTTCTCTTGCTGCCTACCTTTGGGAAGTCTCTAATTCGTCAAGTCTATCTTCTAAGAGCTGTCCTTCCAAGAAGAGACCAGGCAGGAAGAGGGCTCAGCGGCCACCCCTTTCTCATCTCCAACGGCAGATAGGTAATGGGGGGAGGCAGACCGGAACAAGAGCAGATGAGTAAGTTATGTCTGTCTGGTGGCAGCACCCCAGGCTAGCGGGTTTATCCAAAGCTGTTTTCATTGTTCTTTAAAGACCTGAGAGACAGGAATTTGTGAGAGTCCCTTACTGCCTTCCGAAGAGCACAGGCGGGCTCTGTGGTTTGATTCCTTGACTTGCATTTAAGAGCATCAGTGGACAGTGGTGTTTGGGCTAAGGTCAGAGTGCCCATGGGTAGGGACTTGGCTAATTGACTTCCTAGAAGCAAGTCTGATGGTTGTCAGGAATTCCCTGTAGCAAGTGCTCCTTTAAAAGTGCACATAAGATGACCTTGGATCCCTGGAAAAGGTCAGTGTCACACTAGCTGAGTGTTCCCTTTTCCCATTTCTCTACTGGAGTCTACCTAAAGCACTTAAAGGCGGTGTGTGTGTGTGTGTGTGTGTGTGTGTGCGCGTGTGTGCGTATGCGCGCGCACGCGTGTGCGTGGGTGCATGTGCACACACGAGCACGAGCACACACCTATGTAGGCCACAAGACAACCTTGCATGTTCTTTCTTTCTTCTTTCTTTCTTTCTTTCTTTTTTTCTGAGACCAGGTTCCCTGGACTAGAATCCCCCAAGGGGCTAGGCTAGTTGGCCAGCATAAAAGTTTTTATTGTATAAAAACTTCAACAGTAAATCATCAAACTCCAACATATTTAATAACTTCTTAGAATCTTTGATGTGTGAATGAGGTTTTCAAAGAGAGTGGAAAAGACAGCCAACGTACGAGGGCTCTACTTTGTCTTTAGTACACCCACTGCCCTTGGGTTGTCTCTAGTAACTGTCCCAATGCAGCATTTAGAACTTAATTTTGTCATTAAATGTAAGCACAGCCCCCCCCCCGTGGGGGAGACTAGTTACCATCCCACTCTGTCTTCTAACATGGACCACGGAAAGTTTAATCAACAGCATAACAAATATCAATGTACCCTCTCACCAGACTTAACAATTGCTCATTTCGTCAGCTGGATGGTGGCTCACACCTGTAATTGCAGCACTTGGGAGGCTGAGCTGAGAGTATTACCCTGAATTTAGGGTCACCCTGGGCTGCATCGCGAGTACTAGGTCAACCAGGGTTATACAGTGAGATACTGTCTCACACAATAACACAAAGTTTATTTTGCCATATTTATCAGTCCCACCTGCCCCTCATATGTGTGTGTATTTTGGTGTGGGAAGTTAAGCTCTTTGGGAGTCACTGTAGACCTGTAGGCACCACTCAGCCTCTTCTAGAAGAGAGAGTATTTTGGGATTGGAGTGTAGCTCAGCTGTAGAGAACTTGTCTCATGGAAGATGTCCTGGATTTGTTCTTCAGCACCAACGACAAACAGAGAAACAAACATATTTCCCCCCCATACCGGCAGATGCACGCACATGTTAAGACAGCCAAGGACTGTTGCCAAATATCACCAAATACCTTTCCAGATTCAAATTTCAATTGTCGCCCAAATTCCTTTATCATTACTAATGTTAAAACCAGAATTTCCCCAAAGACATTTACTAATATAATTACATTTGGCTATTTGCCATTGTAGCTTTCACAATGCAGAACAGCATCCTAACCTGTGTGTGTGTGGGGGGGTGTGTTAGATTTCTTGTGGGCTCAAGGCTAGTTGATAGGTAAGATGCTCACATTCTAGTCTTGTCTGACCATATCCCTGGGATGATTATAAACTCAGACGGAACACTTGAGTTACAGCTCTTCCTAGGTGACACTGTGTTGCACACATCTGAATGTTGGCTGGTGACTGATTGAGTGGATGATGATCGAATGTTGCTGGAGAGGTTGTTTCTTCCTTTTGAAAACAGTATGTAATCTGCAGAGTGATGTCTAGCATCCGCATGATTATCCCAGGGGGTTTCCATGTTTCTGCTGGCCTTTACTTGCGTTGACACAGCAAATTCATATCCCATCTAGCCTGCTATAGGTTCACAACTGCAGTGGACACAGACTTTCTCCATCAGTTCTTGAGTAAAGGGAAAATGTCCCGGGTTGGAACGATGAGAGTGAATTTTCCCAAGGAAAACAGCATTTGCACATTAAATACATATTCATACATAGCCTGGGCTAAGTAGGCACTGTCCTGGGGATTGGGCCCTGGGCTTTTTGCATACTCCATCCACAAGAGCCTGACCACTGATCTCCATCCACAAGTGCCTGACCACTGATCTCCATCCACAAGTGCCTGACCACTGATCTCCATCCACAAGTGCCTGACCCAGTTCTACGCTCATTTGAAGAGACCAAAATGTCAGGAATCTCAACACTTGAGGAATTTTTGGGACAGGTTTGAAGTGACACATAGCCTTTTTCTTCCTTTTCAAAACAGGTGCTGACAGGGTTGGTTTTCATTCTTTTGTTTTTGGTTTACTTTTTGAACTAACTGTAAATCGATGACTGCCTTAGGGTGCATTCTTAAAGAAACCCATGATAATTCGGCTTTACATGAAATGAATTTTAGTAATCAAAACAAGATTTTTTTGGGGAGGAGTGATACGTGGGTGGAGGTGGGAAAAACAGACTCACAGTGTAGTCCAGGATGGCCAGGGGTCATTATGTAGTTCAGGATGGTTTTAAACTCGAAGGCCCTCTACCTCAGCCCCTTGGATGCGAGGATTACAGGCACCTGCTGACATGTCTGGTCCAAACCCTTTAGAAATAGGCTTTATAGGGTCCTTCTGTAGAAGTGAAGATCAGAGGACACCTGTTTTCCCAGAGTATGAGCAATGTTAACTAGTCAGAATGTGGGGTTTCTTCTCCAGCAAGTAACAGTGGAAAAACACCTCAGGCAATTTTTCCACATAACTACCCTCCTGTGCTACCCATCTCCCTCTCCTCCTCTCGGACTTTCTTAGCGTCTTTCCACCAAACCCAACACCAGGTAGCCTGTTAGAACAAATACCTGAAGTAACATTGAAAACATCAAATGGATATCATTGTATATCTTCAGCCTGGCAACTCTCTGTGTTAGCACTCTGGTAGTTTTTAGTGTAGAAGAAATGGGACATAGCTTCGATAATGGGGCTTCTACCTGTTAACCTTCTTGACTTTGCTCTGAGGATAGAGCCTTAGTGTTGGCTTTGAGTATAGAGAAAGCTTTGTCACTGTTGGTAGTAAGTTCCGTGGGCAATTAGGGCACAATTTGTAAGTATATCTCAGAGAGGGGTGTTTGTGTGTGCGATCCCCTTTTAGGAGAAAAATATGAACCACAGGGAAGGGAGGAAAAGTGGACAGCTAATGGGTATAAGAAAGAAAGAATGCATTTCTAGAACAAACAGTCATTGGTGGGGCTGGCAAGATGGCTCGGCGGTTAAAGGCACATGCTGCCAAGTATAATAACCTGGGTTTGATCCCTGGAACTTATGTTGGGGGTGGAGAAAAGACACTACTCCTGAAAATTCTCATCTGACTTCCACATACACATTGTGTCACATGCTTCCTCCCCTCACAAAATATATGGAGTGCAATAAAACCCTTTTAAAAGCTGCTGATCCACTTGGATGGCATTGATGATAAATGGTGGTTGGGATGGGCTGGCTGGCTGTCAATCAGTGTAGGCACCAGCTTTGATGCATACCTGGGTGCTGCCATTTAATCATCCGCCCCAACTCACACCTCAGGAGGGAATGCGGTTGGTCTGAACCGCAGACAGAGTAGGAGGCGGTGGCCCACATCGCCTTCTGATCGCTGCTCTGGGACATTTTCACAAACCCTTTCACTCACCCCAGCGTCTCTTCAATGGCGACTATGACAGTTTTCCTTCTTAATATTTCACAGAGTAAGTGGGATTACGTGTGCCGTAAACCATACGGGTGGCCTTCATTGTCAGAATTCAAGTTCACCCTGGACCACGGGCAGGAGGGCAGTGAGTGATGGTTAACTACTGTCTGTGTCTTCTTTCCTAATCAGAAAAAGGAAAGAACTATTGTCCAAGAAGTCAAAGGACTGTGTAAGAAATGACTCCCCCCAAACAGGACCCAGGAAAGTTTTGATCAGCATTTCAGTAATGCTACTTCTTAATTGCATTTTATGAGGCGTTTTATGCCATCAGATGATTCTGCCCATCAACCTTGGGTGAGGATCTTTTTTTAAGTGTGCGGTCATTAAGTGCATTCATGGCTTGTGTAACACAACAAAAGCTCTTTTTATGTCTAAGGGGTTTTGTGGCCCAGTTTCGCCACTATGCATCTTTTGTTCATATGGCCTGACTACACTTTGAGCCAATGGACATCCTAATAGTGACAGAATTTAGTAGATGTACCGCTCTGACCCCAGGCAGCTTGCAGGAACCTGGGAACCAGGAAGGAGCCAGGCTGGGAGTTTACTTCCTGGGTGTGTCCTCATTCCCAAGAAGGAGAGGAGGCACACTAATGCTCCTGCTTGTCTTGAGGAGAGGTAGGAGAAGCACTGGGTGGCAGAGTAAGAAGGAAAGTCAGGGTAGGGATGCATCTTCCCTGAAGACTTTTGAGTAGTTTTGAAATTCTGCTTTGATTTTGTGTGCCCTGGTTGTTCCAATGAGTTTACCCTTTTAAGCTGTCTAAAATCCCTTTGGAAGTAGGGCCCTGC